GAAAAATAAACAAAATAAAAGATATTTTTTTATAATTAATATTAATATTCATGTTTAGTCAACCATATAATTGACATTTGTTCCGAATTCTTTTTTGAAAAATATAATGAAATAAAAATGAAAGATATATGTGTATATATTCACCTGTGCTATTTAACATCGATGCTGGGGCGGGCATAATAAAATCAGATAGGCTTGATGATGTAGATTGTATTACTTTCATTGTTTTAATATGATGTTGAGATGGCATTAATTTATTATTGTCCATCATGCATGCACTTAGTTCATTTGTTGTAGGTAAAAGTAGCATTGGAACGGATAATGACATAGGTGTAGATCTTGATGGTGGTAGTTGATCGGTTGGTAATGAAGCTAGAGATTTATTAATATAATTATTTTGTGTATTGATCACCGGTGATACAGATGATTTGTCGTTTGTATTTATAAATGGAGGAGTAAAAACTTTTGAATTGATCATTGCTGATGTTCCACATAAACGAGATACTGATAAAGTATTAGTTAACATAGAACATGGTTTAAATGATGCATCTGTATAATATGAACATAGACGAGTTCGATCAAGTAATGGAGATCGATATAATGAAGACGGAGATTTAATTGGTTCAGATTTGGGACTGATAACTGGTAGCTAAATGAAAAAAAAATGATTATTATATTTTTTCGATAAATATCTATTTACTTTTTCAACATTCGCAATGTCATATACGATCAGTTTATCATATGTATCATCATAAATTTCCTCATCATCTTCTTCTGTTCGAGGTTGTGGACTTGGAGATTCATAAATAGTTGAAAGACGTTTATCAATATCTTGATTTATATCAAAATTATTTGTAGTATTCATAATTATTATTTGTGATTCACTATCATTTATCTGATCATCATTCTCAAGTATATCAGCTCGATCATCATTATCATGTAATGTTACAGTTGGTACGGACCCATCATTTATTTTTAATAAATGATTTTGTCTTTTTTGTTCTTCTTCATCATCATCACGTCGTAATTGTTCAAGTTCTTCTTCGTTTTCTTCAGTAATTGTTAAACATGAATGAACGATATTCACTGGTGGTTCATAAGGAATACCTTCTGATAAATAATCATCATCCTGATATAGAAAAGTCGAAATGAAAGCATAAAGAAAATGAACGAATATACTTAGTCGATTTCTTCTTTCTTTTTCTTCTCTTCTTATTCCTCTTATTCTCCTCCTTCTTATTCTTCTTCTTTCAATAACTAGACATAAACAAAAGAATTCAATCATGCTTTTTGAAAAGGTTTCATCTCATTACTATTACTCAATTCTTAAAGATATTTTCTATTCTAATATAATGACAGATTAAAACAAAAAAAAATTGAAGAGGTGAAAAGAACTTCTCATTCATAAAATAAACATTAGTTATTTATCTTTAACATATTGTTATCTTTCTTAATAAACTTTTCTTTTCTTTTTTTGTGCCAGATTATAATAAAAAATAAATTACAATAAACTTACAAAGAATATTGCTGTACGTGAATGAGATTGATGTATTGTTTCATCGGTATCAGATAGATCAATACTATAAACAAAACTATCAGGCATTAATTGCTTTTGTTGTTGTTGTTCACATTGAATGAATGCAGCTAATTCTTTATCATAGATTTTTGTTGGTGATACAGGTGCCGAATGACTTCTTTGTTGTTGTAGATCTTCATCTTCATCATCTGTATATATCTGATTATCATCAATCTCAATATCTTCATTACAACCAATACCAGTTAAATCCATTTCTGTTCGTGTTGTATTTGAAACATGATTATCATTTGATTGTTTTCGACGATATTGTCTATGAATTTGTAAATCATCTAAACTTTTACTTTGAAATTTAATATGTATTGATAATGTTGGAGAATTTTTATTAGGATGCTGTAGTAATAAATCTTCAACTTGAACAAGTGACTGATGAGATGATGATGATTCTTCTAAATGAACAAAATATGTTTAACATCGCATCATTACTCAAAATGTCAGCTGTTCGATTTTACGTCATCAATAATGATACTTCTAACAGTCAGTACAGCTAGGTTTTTTCAGTTATATTAATCTTATTACATATATAATCATCAAGAGACGCCTGTCTACTAGTAACTAATCCAATAGTAATCTAATGTCAACTATATAGACATTTTTGCAGTTCTGTTCTTTTCTGAGAGATTGTAATATTATTTTAGATAAAAACGCAAAGATATATATATATATACATATCTATATATATGTATATGCCAATTTCTCCTTTTCTCTCTATCTCTCTCTCATTCATCTTATTTCTACAATCATTTATTTTTACAGTTCGATACTGTCATTCAATCGATCATTGTTCAAAATAGTTATAGTGTCATTAAAAAGAAATATATAGGATTGGATTTTGACTTACCTTCTTGATGTTCATTTTTCTCATTTAACTGACAGTTGACGTTGTCTATCATCTTTATGACAAGTGAATTTTAAATTATCAGTGTCAAGGTATTATTAAACAGAGCATCAATATTCTACGAAACGTGAGTTTTAAATGAAATATGTATAAAAGTATGAGTGACATAGAAGAACAGAAGGAAATTACCAAACCATCGTTGTTAGTGTATACACTTCAATGTACTCGACCTTGTACGGGTGGCGAGCGTGCAATCACTGCGTGTAGTAGAAATAAGGGTGTCGTGTGCGAACAGTAGTTTGAATGTATGACATACACAACATGCTATTTCAAATGCAAAAGAGAGAGAGAGGGAGAGTGCGAAAAAAAGAAGAAATAAACTGTGAGTGTCGATAAAAAAAGGAAGAGAGTACGATGCATCATCAATTATGAAAAAAAATGAAAAGAAAAGAAAAACGAAAAGAAGGCTTACCGCTTTGAAATTGATCCTCTATTCATTCAATGGGAGTAATACTAAACTGTTTGTATGTTTTCGAGCAATACTTTTTATACATATAATTAGTCAAGAAATAAATAGAAAAAGAAAATTATCAATATAATTATCCATTTAATCTATTATATATATTTATAAGTATAGTTAACAAATCAATTATTAAATAATAACTGATAAATTTTTCTGATATCATATCATAACTGATAAATAGTATTTTACCTGGATTCGATAGTAAACGTTGTGTCATTTTAAACAAGATAAATAAAACGACAAAGTTCAAGAGGAACTTTGATACTTGTAACAGATGTTAGTTTTATTTTATCGGAATGATTGAGTGATTCATTTGAGTGGTTGAAAAAATAACAAAAGTATGTGAGTCAGTTCAATTTGATACATCGTCGTTTATCGATGATTTTTTCGACTAACCAATCAGTATGATATGCATACGAAAACGAAACAAGAGGTCGCTTAATGTCTATTCAGTTTTCGTTTCAATGTTGATTAAACAAATCTGTCACTGTTAATAATCGAAAAGATGCTCGATCGATAAACTTAAAGATAATATGAATAGCGTATGTTTTCACAATAAGCAATCAAAAGATTGAAAACAATGATTTCGTCACGTATCTAAAACTTATTTGATGCGGAATATCTATCATTAATGATATTTGAATTTTACTGATTCAGAAGATAATTAATTAAATCATTTCATTATTTAATTGAATGAATGCCAAATTATTTTTAGATCATTCAGGGTTAATGGAAAAAAGAAATTCTTTTAAACCATTTCTCATATATCTTAAAACAAGACTAGAAATTTTTGGCTCTGTGACAAATCTTTTTTTTTATTGTACTATTCACTTTGATCCCAAGTGATTTATATTCAACATGGAAAGAATATTAATTAGCTATCACACAATTCTGGAATCTGTGTTACAAAATCAATCCTAACAAATGATTTATTAGACAATCAAACTCAATTGATTATTTTGAATTTGTTAGAATTGAAATTACATGTTCTAACAATAATACTAATGTTTGTTATTTGTATTTATAGAACTTAATTAAAAACTAGTATATTATTTGATTATTATGATCATTACATTTTTGTTAACATTATTATTTGTTAATCAGTAAATTTTATGACTTTTTTTACAGACTTCCAATTACATAGGTTTTCATCATCGCCGTTGGATTTAATCGAAATTGCAAATATCAACAAACAGTAATATACACATATATGTAATGAAAAAATTCTAAAAAGTGATTGATTACATTTGTATACATTACTATATTATAAATGTGTTATTTATCGATACATTAGGCTAGTATCGAGGCACTACTACATAGCTGTTTTGTTCGATTCCTGCGGATTATATTATATAATTACGGTTGCTGCTGTTTCAGTCATTCTTTGATTTATCGCTTTTATACGCTTGTTTAATTTTGATATGTTTCTTAGCAGTATTTTTCATCAATGTATTACAATTTTCAGAATAAAAAATGAATTTAATATCCACCCACTACTCACGCCTACAATCAATTAAAAGTTGACGATATAAATAATGGTATATTTTTAAAGATTCGTAATATTCTCACGTACATAATATTATAAATCTTGAAGAATTAAGCTATTTTTGTCTGTAAATTTACAATAATATGCGAGGAAAATATTATTTAATATCTTGTCAAATTCATTTAGTTTTGGAGATGTATTATATACCCATTCGATACTATATTTGATTATTAAATGATTTTTTTATTAGTATGTGTAGTTCATTCCATGTGTAATAATATAATAAACCTCATTAATATCAATTTCTATAGTAAATATTAATTATGATTGAATGAACTTCACAAATATTAATCGACGACTAAAGAAACTATACATAAGATCACGTCTATTTACATATATAGATTAAGAATAACAAGACATTCATTAATATTCGACAGAATGAAAAGAAAAATTCCATTAGTAATAATAAGTTTTTGATTTCGAAGATACATATATTTCTTTGCTTGATGAAGCAAATTATTCAATAATTAATTATTCTACACTATCAAATCAAAAATCAATGCGCGCAACGGGCGCCAAAACATTAATTAATTTGTTTCACGATATGTTAGATATTAAACCAATCTTATATCAATTATCAGATAAATGTAATCCAAAAATAGACTTACCATTTATTACTAGCCATCAACAAACCAAGTGTGGTAATATTATAGACTCTCGTCGAACAAAATATCCAGATGTACCTAAATTATTGAGAATATCGGATAAAAAACAATCAATTTTTCCTACTATCAACAATCAACGCAAGTAAGATTTTCTTAATATTAATTTACACATGGAATACTTTTAGAAAATCATAAGTAATAACATCGTTCTGTTGGTGTAGCGGTTATCACATCTGCTTAACACGCAGAAGGT